CGCGGCGCTCCCGTGCGTGTGCATGTTCGTGGGGCAGTGCCGCCCTCGGGCGCGCGCAAGTCGGGCGCTGCGCCTGCGGGGCTCGCCCACGGCTCCAGGGTGGGGGTTCCGGGCACCTTAGCCCTTCGCGCACACTGGCAGAGGCTCGGACACGAGGTTTCGGACGTTGTGTCTTGGCTGGTGTTGCTGGTGTCTTACGTGTATTGGGAGAATGATAGGCGCTCGACAAACGTTAGCAAAGCAAATGAATAAAATGCCATCTTTCATTTGGAATGTGAGGGGTGACCCGAGTCACCCAGGAGAAAGGGAACACCCATAAAGCTGTGGATCCAGCCAAACCTGTGCCCCCGCTCCCGCATTTACCCGAACACTCTGAAATCTCGGGGGCTGGAGGCTCTCGCTCTTTTGTGGCAGTAGTGAGATTGGACTTAATTTCATTTGAAGCTTCCTCAGAGAACTCTGAGAACAGCACTGTTCTTAACATCCCTGTTCAGCAAAAGTAATGGCTCTGTTAGTGTTCAAAGCATGTCTTGTTCCTTCTGATGGTGTGGCTGGGCTTGTGTCTGGCATATGGGGACCTGGGAAGTCCCTTCCGCTCCTGGGGTTTTCTCTTCACCCAAACATAGGAAGCGGGACAGCACTACCGCATGTCCTTGGAGTTGCTTATGCTGCTTTATCATACCTGCTTTAACAGCGTTTCACAAAAGCACGCATGATTTGACATCTAAAAATTAGAATAGGACCTTCCTCTTGGGCTTGTGCGATGATTACGTAGCAAACATTTAAGAAATAATATCATTGGCTGTGTTCAATTCTAAAGAAATTCTAGAGGGTTTCAGTTGATTTTATAATTGACATGCGTTTCAATGTTCTGAACGATAGATAATTTTATGCACATCCTTTTTGATGTTCACAAAAGCATGGCATTTAGGACGTCTGCTGAATGAAAAAGGACAGCATAGACCAGTTTTAGGGGTCAGACATCCAGTTCCAATATTAGGTACATTGTTTAGCTTCTCTAAACCTCACCTTCTTATTCTCTGAAATGGAGATAAAGGAAGCACCTAATAGAGCAGTTGCACGGATTAAATGAAATAACGCTTGGTTAAATGCCTAGCTCAAATATTAGCTCCACGATGTTAAATGACCTGCCCACTCTCCATAGATAGTGGGTTTAAGTGGCGGGGCAGGACCGGAACGGCCGAAGTTCATGCTGGCACCGGATCCCTATGTAGCCTCCTTCCCTCTAACGCCACGGCTGGGCCTGTTTATTCCTATTTACACAGATTTTAAGATTACACTTCAATCCTGTTTTGTATTTAAAGGGGATGATAATAGTACTGTATCATAGGGCTATGCTATCAAGCAACAAGGTTGCGACTGCCTGTACCAGTGGTGGGCGTGGCTAGCACTTCCTTATGGTTCATCATCTGATACCGTTCCCCATTCTTCCATACCACGTACTTGCCGAGGTTCACGAACTCAGTCTGCGTGTGTTGTCTGCCTCCTTATGTAAAGAAAAACAGTCTGTTTGCGTATGGCTAGGTAAAGTCTTCCCAGCACCGGACTCATCTGAGGAAATGAAAATAGTTCGGAAGAGATCTCAAGCACTAGACTGCACTTCCCAAGTGACAGATTCCTGACATCTAGGCGTCAATTAACCCTCTTCTCTCATTCGTTTTATGGGCTCTGCCCATCTGTTCCTTGCTTCATGAGGATCACGGGTCTGAGGCTAAATTAAAAGGGCAACTCCATGGGAAGGCAGAGGGAGGGAATGGGAAACCATACAGGAAGGGCCTGACCCGGACCTGGCACTTTGCCTGGTCACCAGCCTTAACTCGGCATTGTGCAGCACTCATTAGGCCCTCGATAAATATTGGTGACAGGTAAGTGACAACCCAGAACTCGATACCAAGGAGAGTTACAAGGGCGCACTGTGGGACTGATGAGGAGGGGGAGGTGAGGGCCTTCCTGAAATGCACCAACCTGAGGCCCTTGAAGGAAATCTCTCTCTCCCACTATCATTGTGTGGATTTCTCTGTCCAAGTACTTGGCTGGGAGCCCCTTATGTCTCCCCTGGGATGCCCACAGACTCCTCCTGAGTGGAGCCTGCTTCTAAGAACTGTGAGGCCTGATGTATGGGGTCTGTGGTATGGAATTTGAGGTGCCAGGGCCTAGGGTGGTGATGGAGCAGCTCCCAGAGACCTTTGGAAGTGTTAGATCATTGGGGTTCTCACAGTTGGGGCGGGGGGGGGGGAGGCTGATTTCTCTATCACACCGACCTTGGGCCCTCTGACTGGTTTTGACCAGTGGAAGATGGGCAGACAAGAGAATGAGTGAGTTTGGAGAAGAGGCTGGGAGAAGCAGTGTGTGTTCTGCTGTGACTCTTGTGCTTGTGTGGTCCACAGTGAGAGGACCATGCCCACGATGCTACTGCCTCTACCGCCTGGGCCCCTCAATGACAGGCACACCTGGGAGAATGAAGCCGATCCAGAACCTGAGCCTGGGCAAGCCCAGGCTGATCGGCAGATCCATGAGTGAGAAATAAACACTTGTTTTTGTAAATCCCTGGGAGATTGTGTTTTGTGATTTGTTATCCCAGCAACACCTGATATGCCTACACAAGGAAGAATGTCCCATCAAGGGCCAATAAGCAACCTGCCCTCATTGCTCTGAGAACACTGGCTACAGTAAATGAACAATAAATATATCCAATCCCTAATAACACAGAGGTAGGAATACACACATTCAACAAATAATCACATGCATAATTATAGACCTGCACATTGTAACGCATGCTTTAATAAGTTAAAAAGCATAAGATGTGATGGAAAAGAGGAACTAATTTTGACTGAGAAACCAATAAAAGTGTCTGCAAAGATACACATTTAAGGTCTGAAGGATGAAGGATAGGCAAAGAGGGGAGATAGCATTTCAGGCACAGGGGGAACACTATGAACGAGCAGGTGGAAGGAGCTAGGTGTGCCTGAGGCTCTGACAGAGTGCCAGTCACTCTGTCCTGCAGACTGGAGCACAGTGAGCATGGCCTGGGTCAGTGGGAACGGCAGGGCCCAGCACGTTCAGGAACTTGTAGCTGCAGTGAGGGGTTTGGCTTTTACACTAAGCACAGTGCGAGCCATCAGAGAGGGTTTTTCCTTTAAACTAACATTTACTTAGGTAAATTTATTAGTCTCACGACTAGAATAGATTAGGCCCATGGAATGCAGACATGGACTTTGAATTTCAAATACCTCCAATGGTGAGACCACTCATGTAAAACTCTTGCCATGGTTTAGGTTGTGGGGGATGTTTTAAATACAATCAAGTGAAATACTAGCCTTCGTTATCTAGCAATAGGACAAAAAGTTAACAATTTACTCATGACATTTACTTTAAAAAAATGTTTATTGGGGCGCCTGGGTGGCTCAGTTGGTTAAGCGCCCAACTGTGACTTTGGCTCAGGTCACGATCTCACAGTTTGTGGGTTCAAGCCCCGCGTCGGGCTCTGTGCTGGCAGCTCAGAGCCCAGAGCCTTCTTCGGATTCTGTCTCTCTTTCTCTCTCTGCCCCTCTCCTACTCACTTCTATCTAGCTGTCTCTCAAAAATAAACATGTTTATTTTTGAGAGAAAGCTGGGGAGGGGCAGAGAGAGAGGGAGACAGAATTTCAAACAGGCTCCCCCCGGTAAGCACAGAGCCCTAAACGGGGCTCAATCTCAGGAACCTTGAGATCACGAACTGAGCCAAAATCAAGAGTTGGAGGCTTAACCGACTGAGCCACCCAGGCACCCCATGAAATTTACTTTTAAATAAAATACATTTTTTAAACACTATCCTAAGTAGTATAATTTCAGTCAAACTTCCATTTGAGCTGCTGTATGCTTGCTGTTTCTGGATCAGTAGAAGAAACTTGTTGATTAACCACAATGAAAATACTATACACTATCTAAAAACCAAATAAAAAGAAAACAAATTACTAATAAGACTCACATTTACAGAATATACATTTGTAAAACATCATCCTAAGAAGTTTCATTGGAGCTATTCAATAGGTCCTTAAATAATAGCAGTGGAACAGAAAAAGGAAAAACAAACTTATTTTTAAAAAAAATTTTTTTTAATGTTTATTTTGGGGAGAGAAAGAGAGACAGGGCATGAGTGGGGGAGGGGTAGTGAGAGAAAGGGAGACACAGAATCTGAAGGAGGCTCCAGGCTCTGAGCAGTCAGCACAGAGCCCGACACGGGGCTCAAACTCACCAACCACGGGATTGTGACCTGAGCCAAAGTTGGATGCTTAACCAACTGAGCCACTCAGGTGCCCCCAAACTCAAACTTATTTTAGAAGAAGGAGGGGTGGCTGGGTGGCTCAGTCGGTTAACCATCCAACTTCGGCTCAGGTCATGATCTTGCAGTTCATGGGTTTGAGCCCCACATCGGGCTCTGTGCTGACAATTTGGAGCCTGGAGTCTGCTTTGGATCTGTGTCTCCCTCTCTCTCTGCCCCTCTCCCGTTTGTGCTCTGGCCCTCTCTCCCTCTCTCTCTCTCTCTGTCTCTCTCAAAAATAAATAAACCTAAAAAAAAAATTAATGGAAAGAAAGAAATATTATTGCTATGTTTCTGGATTATTTTAGTGGTCTCCTTAAGAAAAAAAAATACTGTAATTACATTACCTACAAATAGAATAAAATGGGAGCAATTAATTTATAAGAGTCACATTCAAATATAGAACATTATTCTAAGAAGTATAATTATATCAAACTTCCATTTAGGCCTTAAATAGTCCCTTAATTAATAGAAATAAAACGAAGAGACAAAAAAGCAAAGTTACTTTAGTAGAAAGGGGGAAAAGTACCTTGTTTTTGTTCTATATCTTCAGAAGTATGCATTTGGGAAGATACGGTCTACTTAAGATGTGATTTACTTCTGTTTTCTGGTTTTGTGGACAGAAGATTGAATCCAGCACTTGGTGTAGACATTTCTTGTTGCTAATTTCGGACGTGCTGGCCAGGGAAGTCGCTTGGCAGAATGAATTTCTGGAGAGGTTTGTTCTCACTTTCTAGAAGAAGGACATAACAGGGTATTCTCTTCTCAGAAACTGCCCCCTAAGACTTCTCTGTCACATCTGAACTCTGAAGGAAGAGTCTGGGCCAGCAGCTCCTCTTTGAGGTGGGAGAGTTAAGTCAAGAAAAAGTTCTGAATATCTGCTCGGGCAAGGTGCACAAGCACAAGTGTGCCTTATATTTGTGGAGGAACCCCTGTATAAGGATGGGATTGGCTGAACAGAAGGATCCTCCCAGTGTGGGTTTGAACCTGATGAAACATCAGGTCTACCTGGACAGCAGACCCTGGATCCCCATGGCGAGACAGCCCGTTGCTTCTCCTTTCTCTGAAATCTGGTCATCCAGAGGGTTCCTTCATAATCTTCTTGGGTTAACATCAGAAGGAGCTGGGTGAACTCTTTATGGGAACATTCTGTACTAACTTAACCAGTCTCTGTAAATAGTGTATTATTTCAAAACAGACGGTTTTTCTGTATCGGTAATTTTTTTTTTCTCTGACTACTTTCAAGATTTTTTTCTTCGTTTTAGTTTTTATTTAGCATTTTGATTAAGGCATTTCTGGGTACGGAGTTCATTAAGTTTATTCTATTTGGGATTCATTGAGCTGCTTGAATCTGTGGGATTCTATCTTTCTCTAAATTTGGGTAGTTTTGGGGCACCTGGGTGGCTCAGTCGGTTAAGCGGCCGACTTCGGCTCAGGTCACGATCTCGCGGTCCGTGAGTTGGAGCCCCGCGTCGGGCTCTGTGCTGACCGCTCAGAGCCTGGAGCCTGTTTCGGATTCTGTGTCTCCCTCTCTCTCTGCCCCTCCCCTGTTCATGCTCTGTCTCTCTCTGTCTCAAAAATAAATAAACGTTAGAAAAAAAAAAATTTTTTTTTATTTGGGTAGTTTTCTGCTAGAACTGATAAACAACTTCAGTAAAGTCACAGGATACAAAAGTCAACATACAGGAATCTGTTGCGTTTCTATACATCAAATGAATGAAGTCTTAGACAGAGAAATTAAAAATACAATCCCATTTACAACTACACCAAAAATAATAAGACACCAAGGAATAAATATAAAGAGGCGAAAGATCTGTACTCTGAAAACCAAAGATACTGATGAAATAAGTTAAAGATGACACATAGAAATGGAAAGACATTCCATGCTCATGGATTAGAAGAATAAGTATTGCTAAAATTTCTAGACTGCCCAAAGAATTCTACACATTTAATGCAATCCCTATCAAAATACCAAAGCTGGAGGCATCACAATTCTGGACTTCATGTTATTTTACAAAGGATGGTACTGGCACAAAAATAGACACATGGATCGATGGAACTGAATAGAAAACCCAGAAATAATCCCACAACTATACAGTCAATTAATCTCTGAAAAAAGCAGGAAAGAATATCCAATGGGGAAAGGACAGTCTCTTCAATAAATAGTGTTGGGAAAAGTGGACAGC